TCCAATATAGTTTATGCTTTTTAATATTAGTTTTCAATATGTAGGTCGCTCAACCAAACCATATCAATAATATGTCTTTTCTATACTTTTATTTGTCATCTGATTTATTAATCATATATCATTAACACTTGTAAATTTTTGCATAACACACTATTCATTTTCGAACCCAGCTTGTGGTATCAGAGTACATGGTTCGACGATCATATGGTTCGATGGTCCAATGATTCAATGGTTAAATGAGGTTGAACACAAGTTCAAGCAGTTTCAAATCAATTTGCAACAAATTTGATGATAATGAAGATTTTGTCTAGCTACATGTGGAGGAAAAGTTTTAAAACCATATTTTCAATATTCCTATTGCTGTAATTTTAAAAATAAACACAAGATATTTTTAAATCATTTTTAACACATATATTTTTAACCTAATTTTTAATCATGATAATCAGTAGTAATGAAGATTTTGTGAAGAACAAGATTGTCACGCATATAAAGAAGACGAAACAAGTTTTGTCAAAAAATTCCAGTCATAAGGGGAGATTTGTTAAGATTTACCCTAATTTTCTTAACATATTTTTAAAGAAAGTTTGGAGATCCATATTCTCATAGCAGAACACAATAGAATTCACAATGTAATCGTTTAAGAGTTTTGTTTATGAGGAGATTATTCTCCCAATATATTTTATGTTTTTAATATTAGTTTTCAATATGTACGTCGCTTGACCAAACCATATCAATAATATGTCTTTAGTATACCTTTTTTTTGTCGTTTGATTTATCAACCATATATGCTTTGCAATTGTAAGCTTTTGCATGACGCTCTAATCACTTTCGAATCGATCACCAACGACCCTTGCAAAATACGAAAGAAACAATTATAATTCATCAAAATTAATAAAATTCACACACACACACACACACACACACACACACACATACACATATATATAGAAAGAGGTACTTACCAACGATTGCGGTGTCATAGGTTTTGTTGCCATTGACAAAACTTCTATTACCCGTTATTATTGCGGTATTCATCTCTTCGATCAGGACTGTATTAGTCTTCTTTTTAGCAACTCTAATATATTCCTGATACGTGTCTTTCTTGATTTTTATGAAGAATTGCTTGACACTGTGATCTGGGGCCCCAATATTGCTCCAATAATTGTGTTGAAATCTCCAGTCCCATCTTGAGAAACAATCATGGTATACGGTGTTTTCGTTATCAGTTGGCTTTGACAACATATAACTATAGTTGCAGAAACAAACAACACCATTATACTTCCTGCCCTAAAAATTTAAAAAAATATGATCAATTTATGAACAAGAATTATAGCTACAGTCTAGAGATATGTAAGAAGGATATCGCAAAAACTATCTGAGATGACCATCGCAAAGATGATGAACATGCAAGAACTGAAACTCTTCGAGTCACTGAAGGTAATGAGTAAACAACAATTGTGCTTAGCTGTTGATGATTTTTATGAAGTATTCTTAACAATATCCCTCTTTAATATTGTAGCAAAGTTTTAGAAGTATTTTTAACAATCCCTCTCCTTTGTATTGTAGTAAAGGTTTAAATGCTCATTTCTTAAACAATTAAATGTCATCTTCATTTCAATGTATTTTTCTACTATTTGAACAATTACTTATATAGGTAGTATGTAATTGTAGGAACAATTTTAATCCATAGCTTTGTTATAGTATTGTTTTCTTCTTATTATCTTTCTTATTTGGAAATAATCAACTTGTGAATCTTATGAAATTTTCATTTTGTGAAGATATAATCTTGTACTTTCTTCATTCTTTTTGAATGATATTTTAGCTTTTGTAGTATTCTCCAAATTAAATAATTTTTTTATGATATCAAGTTAGTTTTTTTTTTTAAAAGCAATAAATAGATTATTTTTTAAAAAAATTTAGTCATTTGAAACATTTCGTATTTCGTATTTCATATAGAGTGTAGATACAAAAGAATCTATGTCCATCTCTAACTTATTTTCAATCTCTATTAAAAAAATTAAACATATCAAAGAAGGATGGAAACAAGCTGAATTAATTGAATGACAATGGATCCAAGAGGTCTAAGTGGAATGAGAGTAGACCTAATAATTTTAGATCCGCATAAAATTAGCTAATTAATTTATATTTTAATTAGTTAGATGATTTATATTTTAATCGATAAATATATTTTTAATTTATCTCTAACTTATAATTAGAGCTATATAATCTGAATATGAATATTCGAACTCACTTTTGTAATAGAAATTATTTTCCTCAATAATATGAAGAAAAATATTTTTTAATTGGCTCTGATACCACATGAAATATATAACTCAAAGTAAAATAAAATTAAAGATATATTTTTTTAATTATATAATGAATTGTTGTAAATGATAGATATTCATAGATTCATTTAACTGTAGAAGACCAATTCCTTCAAGTAGAAGCGGATCTATTAAGAGTGGTGGGATGTCACGCTTGTTGACATCCAATTTTGGACCTCCACAATATAAATTAATCATCGAGTTTCCTAAATTTCAAATGGTTTGAAATAATTGGATTTATAAAATTCAAAATAATTTTCAAGTCATTTTAAGTAGTTTTGTCATTTTTATAAATTTTAAAATAATAAATGTGATATTTTATAGAATTATGTGTCCAATTAGTATATTTTATGAATGTTCGAAAATTGTCTCAAAAGGATTTTAGCTTTATTTTATTTGGTTATTTAGTCGTTTATAATTAAGTTAATTATTTTATTTTATTAAGATTAAGAAGCTCGTTAATTAATTAATATCAATTTGTCTTATTTAATTACTAGCCAAAGCCTATTTTAACTAAATCAAATTGGCTAAGTTTTTCCTAATCCCCTTTCAATAACCCCTGGCCCACCTATTTCCTAATTCAAGAAACACCCAACATTAAAAATACAATACATGTACCAACCGACCCCTTCCAATAAAATAATAACAACAACTGACCCCACCCCTTTTTCCCTTTTGACTTCTAACATACAATGCATACAATACATACAATTCCAAACAACACTACTTACAATACATCAACAGCAACCAGCCAACCCCACCCCTTTTTCCCTTCTAATTTCAACAATAGCAGCAGCAGTCCAAAATGTCAACATCAGCTGTACGCAGCAGCCCTGCTGCCTCGGATTTTCTGGGATTTTGGAGAAATTTCATATCAAACTCAGTTGCTCCCTGTTGGTCTTGAAAAGAAGCAAGAAATTTGAATTTGAAATGAGAAATTTCACCCGATTTCCCCCTAATTTTCATCTATATAATCATCTTTTTTTATCACTAAAAAAGAGGGAGAAATAGAGGAAAATTAATTTAAAAAAAAGAAGAAGAACAAACCGGAAAGAGTAAAAAAAAAAAAGAACACAAAGTTTGAGTCTCATTTATTAGAATTCAAGTTATTTTATTTTTCGGAACCCATCGAAGCAGGCTCACAGTGGTGGTAATTCTTCGTGGTTAAACTCGTTGTCTCAATTCGCTGCACAGAAAAAGGTAATATCATTCTTCTTTTTTGTTAAATTCCTCTTCATCTCGTGTTCGCATTGTTTGAATTTTTTTGAATTTTGATCATGTTGTTGTTGTTCGCTTTTGGCTCCCATAATGGTGATACCTAGTTGTCGTTTTAGCATTCGAATTTAGCTAAATGTTACTCCTCTTGTTGATAAGATATGGTGTGCTATAAATTTAGTGTAAGCTCGTTTGAATTGAATTACTATGATTTATTAAATGCGTCATTTGTTTAATTTTTTTTCTCAAAGTTAATCAAATATATTGTAAGTTATTATTTTATTTTATTTTTATGCTAAATCTTTATTTTTTCTAAAAAATAGTCAAATATATTTTAGTCAAGTCACAGGTCAACCGCACGTTACGGACACTTCAAATGCTTAAACCTTTCTCGAAGTGTAAATTGAACCCCGAACCCTCTTTGGTATTTCCAAATGATTTTTTCTGTTTAAATCTTTGAAAATTGTAAGTTTTCTTAATTTCTTTAAAAAATTAAGTGGTGATTCAGACTTGTTGATTCATCAAGTTCAAGGAGAATGGGCGATGAAGAATCCTAAAATCTTACCATACGTACAATTGGTACGAAGATTATGCCAAAGATTTAGGAAGACCAAGTTCAGACACACGCCGAGAATACAGAACGAGCTTGCTGATGCCCTTGCAACCATATCGTCCATGATACAACACCCAGAAAAGAATTATATCGATCCACTTGAGATAGTTTTAAAAGAACAACCAGCACATTATTCACATGTAGAAGCAGAATGGGATGGGAATCCATCGTATATCGATGTAAAAAAGTACTTAGAAGCTGGCGAATATCCAAAAAAAGCAACAGGTATTCAGAAGAAAACAATTCGAAGAATGGCAAACAACTTTTTCTTGAATGGAGAGGTTCTTTATAAGAGGACACCCGATTTGGGACTACTGAGATGTGTGGATGCTGCAGAAGCCACAAAATTGCTTGAAGAAGTGCACGCTGGAGTGTGTGGGACGCATATGAATGGGTTTACATTAGCAAAGAAAATCTTAAGGGCGGGATACTTCTGGATGACTATGGAAAATGATTGTGGCCGGTTTGTCCAAAAATGTCATAAATGCCAGGTACACGAAAATTTGATCAAGGTACCACCCTACAAGCTCAATGCGATGAGTTCCCCTTGGCCATTTGTAGCCTGGGGCATGGATGTTATTGGACCGATTGAGCCTGCTGCTTCCAATGGTCATAGGTTCATTTTGGTCGCCATTGATTACTTCACAAAGTGGGTCGAAGCTGCTTCCTACAAAGCTGTGACAAAGAATGTTGTGGCCGATTTTGTTCGCAACAATTTGATATGACGTTTTGGAGTTCCAGAGTCTATCATCACAGACAATGGAGCAAATCTAAATAGTCACTTGATGAAAGAGATATTTGAAAAATTCAAAATTACCCACCACAATTCAACTGCATATCGCCCTCAGATGAATGGAACTGTGGAAGCTGCTAATAAGAACATCAAGAGGATACTGAGAAAGATGATTGACAACTACAAATGTTGGCATGAAAATTTGCCTTATGCTTTGCTAGGTTACCGCACCACAATTTGAACCTCAACTGGAGCAACTCCTTACCTATTGGTATATGGAACAGAAGCAGTGATACCAGCTGAAGTTGAGATACCATCTTTAAGGATTGTTCAGGAAGCTGAATTGAGTAATGCCGAGTGGATTCGTGATCGATATGAGCAATTAGCATTGATTGATGAGAAAAGAATGAGTGTTGTTTGTCATGGTCAGTTGTATCAACAGAGAATGACTCGCGCTTTCAACAAGAAAGTAAGAGTTCGAACATTTGAGGTAGGCCAATTGGTGTTGAAACGCATTTTCCCTCATCAAGAGGAATATAAAGGGAAATTTGCACCTAACTGGCAAGGACCGTATGTTGTCCACAAAGTACTATCAAGAGGAGCTTTGGTTCTAACAGAGATGGACGGTCAGGTGTGGCGCAAAGCTATCAATTCAGATGCCGTCAAGAGATACTACATTTGAAGGATGATACTTCTTTTCTTTATTTCCTTGTAATTGCAGTTTACTTGTAATCATTGTCAGATCATGTTTTGAAACATTCCCCTTGTACTTAAACTATGTTCGACCTGAATTCTCAAGAATGAGATACGTAGGCGGTCTATGTCGACCTCGGTCGTTTCCTTATCAAATTCTCTATTTTTGTCAATTCTCGAGATGGGAACTACGTTTGACCTGATTCTTGCCTCAACAGGATACGTAGGCACCACAAAGGTTCGGTTATATTCCCAATCAGATTTCCATTTCCCCTCACAATGGAAACTGGGACAGAATTTTTGAGAGGACCTCAAAAATTCAACAAGAAAGGTCATTTCCTACAAACAAGAGTCAAATATCATATCGAAATGTGCAATTGGGAATAATTTTGAGGAGATCTCAAATGCAAGACTCCCGTGATCATCATCAAATTTGTTTTTGAAATATCTAACTGGGACAGAATTTTTGAGAAGGACCTCAAAAATTCCATCAAGGATACTCGGACCTTCGAAGTCAACTTCAATTGCCTCAAATTGACGTGTTCTTAAAGGGTTTTAAGTTGCCAGCAAGCTACCTATCATATCAAAATCTGAGACAAAGGGTTTGGTTCGTGTCGTGCATATCGTGACAGTTAATTGGCAGATATTTTCTTTAAAACTATTTTTCAAAACTTCATGCCTAGCAAATGTTTTAATCTAAATATGATTTTTTTTCTTTTGTCTCCTGCGATTCCTTGGATCTACCAGACAAAGTGCCAGAGATAACGAGACCAGGAGCAAGGCGACTTCAACACAGATCAGTGTTCCAAAACTAACATATTTTTGTGGATGCAGGGTATAATAAGATCATCAAATGAGCTATATTTGCAAACCAACTAGCTCAGTGTTCCAAAACTAACATATTTTTGTGGATGCAGGGTATAATAAGATCATCAAAGGAGCTATATTTGCCAACCAACTAGCTCAGGAGAACATATCCAGGAAATGTCTTATAGTGAGTGTAACATCTCTGCTTGACCAAAGAGATATTGATGAAAGACGACATTCATAGTCAAAGTCATTCATATTCAAAATGTCGAGAGGGACATTGCATATTAAATTGCCAAAATGGCCATTCATATTCAAAATGCCGAGAGCACCATCACATTCAAACTGCTGAGAGGGCCATCATATTCAAACCGCCAAGAGGGCCATTGCATATTCAAACCGCCAAGAGGGCCATTCATATTCAAACTGCCGAGAGGGCCATTGCATATTAAAATTGCCAAGAGAGTCATTCATAATCAAATTGCCAAAAAGGCCATCATATTCAAAATGTCAAGAAGGCCATTGCATATCAAAATGCCAAGAGGGCATTTATATTCAAAATCGCCGAGAGGGCCATTGCATATTTTAGCTGCCAAGAGGGCCATTGCATATTCAAGCTGTCAAGAGGGCCATTGCATATTCAAACTGCCTAGAGGGCCAATGCATATTCAAATTGTCGAGAGGGTCATTCATATTTAAATTGACAAAAGGGTCATTGCATATCAAAATGCCAAGATGGGCATTTATATTCAAACTGCCAAGAGGGCCATTGCATATTCAAACCGTCAAGAGGGTCATTCATAATCAAATTGCAAAGACGACATCAAGAGAACTATCAACATATTACATCTGCTTATTTTATTACTTCACCATCAAAAGAAGAATACATTGAAGATTATATTACAAATACAAAATACAAGCTTTATTTGCTTTACGTCAGAATAGAGGAAGCTGACGTCAAATGTCCAAGGAGAACAATTAAGTGTCAACACGGTAAAAGACACTGTCTCCCTTTTGAATTACATTTTTATGCTAATGAGTTTTATCTCAGTCTTTGTTGAGAACATTCGAAAGGATGAATTCTCCAAAACAAACCACAGGTGCGGACGACATCAAAGAGGATGCAGCACAACGTGGAACTTTTTCTTAGTAACGAACTGGGACATAGTCCAAAGAGGAGTGCCAAACTCTTAGGACGCGAGCAGAGGAGCGACTTCCACCACAATCAACCCACACCCCTATCAGAAGGCATGTGGGTTTATCTTTGGGTTTGTCAGTTTTAGTTTCGCATCCAAAATTTTTTTGGTCTTTACCGGAAGCAAATTTCCAATCTGAGTGACAATGTACCAAGAGCTTTGGAAATTATGTCCATGTAAGTTCTTACTTATGGATGTGAAGAGCTCCACATTCATGGCTAAGAAGTTGCAAGCCTCTTTTTCATAACTCGACTTACTTTGTCGCTTTTCCAGAATCAAAAGTTATCTTGCATAATAGATTTCCTTTTCAATCGAGCGTACCGAACTACAAATGACCTAAATTCTCATATAGCATGAGACATGTAGGAAACCCATTTCCATGGTTCGGCCGTAATTCCTAAAGTCCCTACCAAATCCCTCTTTCTTAAAGATGAAGATGTGGTCGGTCAAATTTGGAATCGTCAATTTCATTTTCCTCGAATTTCTTTCATCAATCCAAGTTAAACGAGGGATAGTTGTTGATATCCAATTTTGGACCTCCACAATATAAATTAATCATCGAACTTCCTAAATTCCAAATGGTTTGAAATAATTGGCTTTATAAAATTCAAAATAATTTTCAAGTCATTTTAAGTAGTTTTGTCATTTTTATAAATTTTAAAATAATAAATGCGATATTTTATAGAATTATGTGTCTAATTAATATATTTTATGAATGTTCGAAAATTGTCTCAAAAGGATTTTAGCTTTATTTTATTTGGTTATTTAGTCGTTTATAATTAAGTTAATTATTTTATTTTATTAAGATTAAAAAGCTCGTTAATTAATTAATATCAATTTGTCTTATTTAATTACTAGCCAAAGCCTATTTAACTAAATCAAATTGGCTAAGTTTTTCCTAATCCCCTTTCAATAACCCCTGGCCAACCTATTTCCTAATTCAAGAAGCACCCAACATTAACAATACAATAGATGTACCAACCGATCCCTTCCAATAAAATAATAACAACAACTGACCCCACCCCTTTTTCCCTTTTGACTTCTAACATACAATGCATACAATACATACAATTCCAAACAACACTACTTACAATACATCAACAGCAACCAGCCGACCCCACCCTTTTTTCCCTTCTAATTTCAACAATAGCAGCAGCAGTCCAAAATGTCAACAGCAGCTGTACGCAGCACCCTGCTGCCTCGAATTTTCTGGGATTTTGGAGAAATTTCATACCAAACTCAGTTGCTCCCTGTTGGCCTTGAAAAGAAGCAAGAAATTTGAATTTGAAATGAGAAATTTCACCCGATTTCCCCCTAATTTTCATCTATATAATCATCTTTTTTTATCACTAAAAAAGAGGGAGAAATAGAGGAAAATTGATACAAAAAAGAAGAAGAACAAACCGGAAAGAGTAAAAAAAAAAAGAACAGAGAGTTTGAGTCTTCTTTATTAGAATTCAAAGTTATTTTATTTTTCGGAACCCATCGAAGCAGGCTCACAGTGGTGGTAATTCTTCGTGGTTAAACTCGTTGTCTCAATTCGCTGCCCAGAAAAAGGTAATATCATTCTTGCTTTTTGTTAAATTCCTCTTCATCTCGTGTTCGCATTGTTTGAATTTTTTTGAATTTTGATCATGTTGTTGTTGTTCGCTTTTGGCTCCCATAATGGTGATACCTAGTTGTCATTTTAGCATTCGAATTTAGCTAAATGTTACTCCTCTTGTTGATAAGATATGGTGTGCTATAAATTTAGTGTAAGCTCGTTTGAATTGAATTACTATGATTTATTAAATCATTGGCGTGCAAATGTGACTCGTGTGCTAACATTAGCCAAAAAATATTTTATCTTGTTTTTATATTGTAGTTGGTGTGTATGTGTATATATATAAGTGTAAAGTTATTGTGGTCTTTTTCTCCAAAAATCTTAATACTTGTCTTGATATGGGTAGTCATTTGTCCTTCTTTGCTTAATACAGGATATTGGTACAAATCCAATAGTCTCCTTCATTATTGAAACTTCTTTTCAACTCATGCCATCTTATTTTATTATTATATTTTTTTGCATTTTTCTTTTATGTTCCCAGGCAACTCTTGTCCCCTTGTTTGTTGTTAGATCATTTTACTCTCTTCATGAACTTGTACTTTGTCATGTTGGGAATTATATATGCTAGATTTATGTTTTGACTCGTGAACAGAATTTCAACATGATTTAGAGTCGAAAATTACATGATGTCAGTTTATTTGTGAATTAAGATCGAATATTGATAGTCGTGTTGAAATAAGGTAATTTTAATAAGCACGGGTTTGAAATCATCGATGTACTCTTTGAGATTTGTCATTCGGTTGTTTCCTTTGTAAAGCCACATGAAGTTTGGTTTGGTGCCTTTAACTTCTTCAATCCCAGTGTGCATCAAAGTTACTGTGAAGTTTTGTTAGTTTCACTTCCTTGATTCTTGATTCTTTGCATATCTATCCATCTAAGAGTTGTTAATGTTGATCATGCTATTGTGAGGAAATTTATCTTATTACTATTTTACATACATAGCTACTTTAGTGAGTGTTCAATTTTGATTAGTTACTAATTCTTATCATTTCTTATTTTGTGCATGACCTTCCTCAATTTGGGTCCATTGGACCCTCTCCTTCATTCCTTGCATCTCGAGTTGGGTTGAAATCCAACACTCCTATTTTATCGAGTCGGTCGTCATCATTGCTCAAATTGATGGGAAGCTAGAATACAAGGGAAGAGAAGCTAACTTACAGGCTAAGGAAGCTGAAACATAGGTCTCGAAAAGCCAGAAATGGGTTGTATATATATTGTATACAGCAGTATACATCATTATATAGAGATATACAGGTAAAAAATGCAGGAATACAGGGCTGAGGCGAAATACATGTGTTTGGAAGCAAGAAATACATGAAAGAGGCTGATATACACATTAATATACATAACGTGTATACAAAAACGGGTTCAGATTTAAACCCC